CCAAATCTGTCTTTGATCGGTTTTGGCTTGTATGTTGCATCTGGAGGTGCTTCTTTGATGAGGATGAAGCAGGTCATGTCTTGGTGCTTATCCTGGTCCAAATCAGGCGATTTGAACCGCTTGTTCTCTTCTTGCTTGTAGTTTCTTCTTTTATGTTTCAAGGCTTCCCTGAAATCTGTACTCGGTTCTTTTGACAAAAATAAGTGCATTATATATGTGTATTCAAATATAAAATAAGTCTTGAAAACATGACCACTTACGTTAACATGCTCACATGGTCCCCATATATAGGATTGAGATGCTCTAAACTCAAACAATTCAGAATAAAGCAAGTGTAGGTTTACCTGAGTTGTAAAATCAGTAGTTTGGAAATTTGGATTGGTTTCAGCCTCAAATAGATTTCTTGTGGATGTGGGAAGGACTAAGAATGTGGGACAAGTTGTTTCATAGCTTGATTCTTTTTTTCAATAAATGTAGACCTCAAAACAGTCTGACATGTGACAATAGCAAGCAAATCAGGTTTCGTGCGTTTCTTTGAGTCTAGACCATTACCTCGGGTTGGCTGTTTAGATTTTGTTGTAGAGTATACTTATCTGGTGGTTTTTCCTTGATTTGAGAAGAAAACATGAGTTATCCTCCTGCTCTAGTAATCACTTCCCTATTCCCTCTAGTGATTTCATAGTGAAACTTTTGCTGAGCTGAGTCGTGCAACACTTTATCTCCAGATGGTGAAAGATCACCAAAAACAAATGTTGCTGCATGTGATTTATTTTCAATCAGTTTGATCTTGTTCATGTAATTCCACCCTTCTCCTCCAGGCTCAAATACAACATGTTTCAAGCCTCATTCATGTCTAGACAGCTCTACGGTTCTGATTTTGTTCAAACAAAAGAACTGATCAGAAAAGTACCCAAAATGTCTTTTGGAAATGACATGGATCAAAGACAATCAATTGATTGTTTCCATGATCAGTTTGTGGTTCCTTGGGTGCCTCCTCTCCTATTACATCCTGAATGAAAGGAACCATGACGTTATAAACTGGTTCTTCTCCTTTATGAATGGTAAGTGATGATATGTTGGTTTGATCTTATTGAAAAGGTGCAACTGGCTCTGATTCTGGCTCTTTGTGTTCTGATATGGTAGTGAGTGGTTCTTGGTTCTGTTCTACTAAGGATGGACGTGTTGTGTTGGTCTTCCTGAATTGGTTAATCACTTGTAACAAAACCTCCTTATCTTTTTTCACTGAAGCGGAATTTAACATCCATAGATAGCTTAGAGACTGATTTTCCTTGTTAAAACAATTTGTTTTCTTGTAAGATGAACCATTTGCAGTGGATGGACGTGGCCTACTACTATCATGTGGGTTCTTAACCGAGAATGAATGATAGATATTTGTCCCTGAAGTCTGGCTTGGATCTATGCTCCACTTGTCTCGTTCAAACCTTTTTTGCTGTGGAGTTTCATTTCCAAAAACTTAGTTGTTCTGCCTTAAACAAATTTCTTCTTGTATATCAGCTCTTAGCATAAGAGTCTCTATTTCTTTGTAATATTCTTCAACTGATCTACTCCCTTAAGACAGTGTTTTGCGCTTGAAATGCAGTTCTCTATGGTAATGGCTTGGTACAAATCTCTTCCTCATGATTACCTTCATCTGGTTTCAAGTTTCAACAGATAAATTTCATGCCCTTTTTCTTGCTGTAACAAGGTTATCCCACCTGTTCAGAGCATACTCTTTAAACTCAGTAGGAGCAAGTTTCAGTTTGTACTCTTGAGTGTAATCTCTGCAATTGAACACAAGTTTAATCTTCTTTTTCCATTTCAGATATTCTTTTGGATCATCAATGCCTATAAACTCAGGAATCTTCAGTTTCAAACCTCCCAAAGGATCATTGGTTTGTAGTCTTTCTACTATGTCATGCCTTCTTCTTCTGGTGCCATTGGTTCTGTTGGTATGACTATAATATCTCTCCATGGCAGACTGGTTTGAACTTCTTCTAGATCTTTCACATTCTAAATTAGCAGTCTCAGCTCTGAAGTTTTTTACTTTCTGATCCATCAAAGCAGTTAATTGAGCAGTCATCTATGCAGTTAAGGCTTCCAGCAGATGTTTATCAATCCCATTGGTCCGATTTTTTTCATCTCCCATGGTTCCTGACAAATTTCCAAACACAAACCAGTAAAGATGTTCACAGACTATTTATCAAAAATCAAGTTCAGATTATTTATCAAATTCAGCACTTGTTCTAGATAGATCTGACCCTAATAAACAAGATTCTAGCAAAATCTAAACTTTAGAACAGATCTGAACACATAATACGAAAGGTCGAAAAGTTGCAGATCTGGAAAAACACAACCTGGTGATACCACTTGATATAATTATGGGTGTGAGGATCAAGTCCCTGAAAGCTCTCCAACATTTGTGATGATGAAAGTGTCGAATTTCCTAGATCTCCGAAGTGTTCAAAGCGACTTTCTGAAGTGACCACTTTGAAAATGTAGAATTCTCTATAGATTTGAAGTGTTCAAGGCGGCTTCTAAAGTTCCCACTTTAGTGCTGTAGATAAACAAATAATGGATTGAGTTGATACTTCTAAGAGTTGCGGAAATGGCTCTCAGACTATCAGGATGTGCTTGTAATGTAAGGATCAAAGATCCAAAATATACTAGACAAGCTTTGATCAAACAAGATATAGAGAAAGTTTTGATAGAAAAAGGTTTGATGATCCTTATTGAGTTTTCGACCATAATATAAAGAGAAGAAGACTGCACATGTACAACTTCTTGGAAACACACAACATAATTAATACAAACAAAGACTAAAGTTCAAATTTAAAAGATGTGATTCTGGATTCTTTATCATGGACGAAAATGGGATAAGAAATGGGCTAGAAATGGGCCTAGTTTCATCAAGGAGCTTTGTGTGAGTGTTGTGACCAAGCCTTATTAAAAACTTTTGTTTGGAAAAACCCATTGGGACAAAACTAAACCTAGGAAAAGAGTGCAAGTCACAACACCTCTCATGATGAATGTCTTAGATGGCTTGAATTACAACCAGTGTGGTTGAATAAGCACACAGTAAACTGCCCTGGATAGTGTATAAGAGGAGGTGAATAGCTTGGTGGAATCTAGCTTGCTTGGACATTGTCATTGGGCCAATTGGTACGTCTAGGTCATTGTCATTTATCTCCTAAGGTTGAAGTTGTTCTTTAGCTCCATCTTTGTCTTATTTAAGCTATGGTTCAAGTTTTTCCATCTCCTCAGTTCCTTTGCTTGTCATGATCATATCAGAAGTCATGATAACCAAGGTTTGACCAAAATCTCAAAATAAAATCATGGAAGACTTTCGTGTAGGTCGTCTATCGGAAGACTTACATGTAAGTCGTCCGGATAAAATTAAATATTTAAGTTTTATTTTTCAATTGCAAAAGTAAGCCAAGACGACTTACATGGAAGTCGTTTAACAAAAATTACATATTGAAATTTTATTTTTCTGTGGACAACTTCCTTGTAAGTCGTCTAGGAAAAGTCAAATTTTGGACACAATGTGATCAAATGCAAAACTAACATGTTTATCGTAGACAACATACAGGGATGTCTTCTCTGGGATTTTCAAAAAAAAAATTATGTATGACACACATAAAGTCAATTGTAAAACTAACATGTTTATCGAAGACAACATACAGAAAATCGGAAGACTTCTAGAGAAGCCATCTCAGAAAGACACAAATAAAGTCAATTGTAAAACTAACTCTGCATTGACCTATAAGACTTTCGTGTAAGTCTTCTACATCTAAAACCTTACACGAACGTCTTCTGACAAACAGATCTGGAAAAAAAAATCGATTTCATACCTTAAATTCGTGAGAAAACTTTCTTAGCACATAGAAATCTTTTCCACACACTCAAAACGTTAAACGAAAGCGACCCATCAAGAATCGTGAGCTTGAATGGCTCTATGAACTTTAAAAAAAGTTGGAATCAAAATCTTTGATTTTTTGGATGAATATAGCGAGAAAGTGAAAGAGGTGTTGTTTAGTTCATAAGAAATAAGATGGAAAGAGACAAAATCGAATTTTTAGTTGTATTAAGAGTTCAAATTGCTTGTTTATGGTGTTTGGTGTATTGATGGCGATATCAATATTGTAAATACTTGATGAAGATGATTGAATAAATATTTATTTTGAAAAAAAAAAAGAAATCCGTGAATAATCTGAATTTGGGATGAATATGACAAGTCAAATTTCTAAAAAAAATATGGATTAGATTTGTGTTTGACTTAGAATTATGAATCATATTTGCAAGAAACCTAATAAACTAAGCAAACTGAAGACAACCATATACTATTTTGTTGTAAATGTTTACTCGACGCCATTCCTTTTCAAGTCCTTTAATTACGGGTAATTAACAGCATAAGTCATATAACCAATGACGTGAAACGCGATCGTTAGTCACACCTAAAGTCGATTGGTTGTAAGCAAACAACACGCAAATTTAAAATTATGTTCATCAATATCTTGTAAGTTACGTACGTATAATTAATCTATCTAGTCCTCGTGATATAATAATTCACGTGAATGTTATTATTATACACCCGTGATTTATTCTTACTTTAGCTTCATTTCCGGAAAGTAATTGTTGACTTTTTACTTCTTCAATTTTTTTTGCCAAATTACAAATTTACATTAAACTATACCAATCCTAGAAAATATATTTTTAAATATCATATATTGTAGTTCCAATCTTCGAGATTATAATCCTTGTTTGTTTGCTCCAATCTGTTATGGCCTTTTCTCACAAGAGGTGTGATTCAAACACTGCTAGGTGATGAGTACTAACAAATCACAAAAATTATGATTTCTGATTCTCACAAGAGGTGTGAATTCATACACTGCTACGTGATGAGTACTATTACAAATCACAAAAATATAATGTTTGGTCTTAATAATCTAATCGTACACGTACACGTACACGAACTTATAATGTTAATTTTATTACATGATTAGACATTTACATACTCTAATGTCTGGGCTTATCTATCGTACGTAACTTATTATGTTAAATTTTATTACATCAGACAACTATTTCTCGTGGTTAAAACCAAAATTTTATTAATATGGACGCGTGTTCTCATCACCCACAGGCCTAGGAGCGTAGTTACATACGACCCAAAGATACGTGTTTGCATGACACCTTACATGACCACATCCAACTCGATGCGATTGGTTAGCCACCATCTGAGTATAATGTCCGCACATACCACTACATTTGTTGGTTTGATAATTGTAGAATTTCTTCTCGCCATACCACAACTTAGCCGCGATCGGACCGCTCATTGATTCCTTAGATTTGAGCCACCCTGCGGCTATATTCTCGCCGTACATTTCGTCTGTCGAATGTTGTAGGGCGCAGTCTTTAGATCGTACGTTAGCGTAGTTCTGTGCGAAGGCAGCTAGTTTATTGTCCCACACCATTGGACCTACCCCGACTTCGGCTCGAACCCGGTTGTGAACATCTAAAGTTTCTGCCGGTAGTAGATCAACCCTTGGGTCTAAGTTGGTTCGACCTAGGGTGTTAAGCCCTGACGTTGCTCCTGGTTGGGGCCTTGCTCTCCGTTGGGACGTTGCTGCCGGTTGGAACGTTGCTCCTGGTTGGGGCCTTGCTCTCCGTTGGGACGTTGCTGCCGGTTGGAACGTTGCTGCTGGTTGGGGATTAGCCTGTGGGTCCTGGTGACAGGAACCATAGATTTGAGTAAAGACGATGGAGAGTAATGCTACTACGACGAAGCTATAACGCGAAAACGACATTCTTGCTCTTCTTTTTTTTTTTTTTTGTTAACACTTCTTTTTTTTTTTTTTGCAATTTCACTTCTTTTGTTTTTTGTTTTCAAACTACTTTGATCTCTATTTTGATTCTTTGTTTTCTCCTTTTTGTAAGCCTAGGAAAGCAAGAGTTCCGTGACTATTTTTGGGATTTCAAATATTCACCACTAATTAAACCAAAAAATAAGTGAGAAAGACGTTAATTTCCTAAACAATTACTAAATCACACACTGATCAAGTGATTAATGTTTTTACAGGTTATTAATGGAAGTTTGACTGTGGGATGCGAATAAATTAGGTCCGTTAATTGTTGACGGTATATCACCAACTGTTATAATGTTTTAACACATGATACTAGGTGATTTTCCCGTGCTCATGCACGGGTATAATTATTTTTAAATTAAATATATAATAATAATTGATTATTATTTACTTTTAATTTTAAATTAATTTATAATTTGTATGCATCATTTATATTAATAGTATTATATTACTTTACTTATACTGTAATTTAATTATATGTTATATCTAGTCAATTTTGTTGTTTTACGGTTGGTTTAGTTATCATTTGGATAAATTGGATTGCATCTCTGAATTCAACTGTAATATTTTAAAAATATATTAATTTTTAATTAGTTACTTATTTGCATATGGTGGGTGTTGTCTTAGATATGTAAATATATTTTAGGAAAATTATGTATAACTTAAGATATATTATGATTAGAATGAATTAAAAATTAACTAAAGTGTCTGATTCCAAAATACGTAAATTAATATAACGAAAATATTCTAAAGTCTCATGGATATATATAAATTTTACAAAAGAATTAAAATTGTAAGAGTTGGTTAGTATTTATTTTTATTTGTTAACATGTCTTGAGTTATCATATGATCAATAAAAGGTTACATGCATTTATAAATTCTAAATAACTTTATGCTTTAGATTTATTGAATGTAAAATGAAATATATTTTAAATAATCTTAAATTGAGAATTCAGATTTGCTTTGATATTTTGATTATGGTTATATTTAGTTTCACAAACATAAAAATAAAATTTAAAACAATTAATATTAATAAAATAAATAATTTTAATAATGATAAAATATCATATATCTAGCTCATTAGAACAATTATTTTGACCAAACTATGTTTATTGTTAAATTTATTTTTAGTTTTTAATCTCTTAAAAATAAGCACTACACAAAATTGTGATTGTATTTGAAAATAATATTATATAAGTAAAATATNAACAATTAATATTAATAAAATAAATAATTTTAATAATGATAAAATATCATATATCTAGCTCATTAGAACAATTATTTTGACCAAACTATGTTTATTGTTAAATTTATTTTTAGTTTTTAATCTCTTAAAAATAAGCACTACACAAAATTGTGATTGTATTTGAAAATAATATTATATAAGTAAAATATAAGTTCTAGATAATTTTCTGTAATTGAAAGACATCATAGTCAACTAAATATATGAAATATAAATAAAAATTCAATAATACTAATTATAAAATATTTTATTACTCTAAAAGTATATTTTATGTTATTTAAAAATATTTTTAAATGTATTATTACTATTTTGTGAACTTTCCTTTTTTATGAAATTATATTATATATACATATTTTCTATGTTATTTAAAAATATTTTAAATGTATTTTTACTATTTTGTCAACTTTCTTTTTTTATGAAATCATATTATATATACATATATTTTCGCTTTAAATTTGTTTTTATGACTTTATAAAAAAATTCTTTTTTATTACATATCTTTTTGGAAATTTTTGAAAAGGAAAAACTAAAAATAAAAGAATTAATAATACTATTTTCAACTCATTAAGGGTATCAATGTAATCAACCATCGTGAGAATGAATGTGAGAGCGACACATAGGAAACTGACTTCTCAAATAATATTATAGAGATATGACTTATGTAAATGGAAAACAATACCTTCCGTATCATTTTAATTGTCATTCTACGTTTTTGCACACAGATTAAGGAAACCTTAAGTTTTACATATTTTCAAGAAAAAAACACAATTACCTATATACCTAACCACTTTTCAACCAATAGAAAAATAGAATATCATATAAAACTAATAAATTTTGTCTCGAAACTTGAAAACAAAACTTATTTTGAAACGAATTTTTTTCTCCAGAATGACAATTAATTCGAAACAGATGAAGTATTTACTTTCTAACCCCTTTTGCCTTTCGAAATTAAAAGATACACAAAGCAGTTTTTAGAAACAAAAAGAAAATACACAAAGTAATTAATAAAAGACCTGAAACATTATAATCTATTGGTTAAAGTTTAAAAACTTTTATCTCAGATATGTGATTCGAAATCTTAGCAAGTCTGTTGTGAAGTGAATATATCCATTGAGAATGTCGTACATATAAAACCGTTCTCGATCCAAATGTTCTGGGAGAAAAATTATCGTGGAATTGATCTCAGATCGTGTTACAAATAGTTGATCATGAGATGTAATAGAATTAAATGTTATATGACGATATAATCTAGTATTAAAAAATAATATAAAAAATATATATATATCTCAGCACTCATGTTATGCTCTATGTGTGTTTTGTATTGGAAATACATTAATCTCCCGCAATCCTACAGAGTACAGACGTGGAATTTGATTGGACTGATTAATTAGTTACGTTCGTTAATCTTGTAATTCACGTGATGTTATATAACTCTCGTGAGTTTTACTCAGCACCCGTGATTTGTTCTACGTAAACGTCATACTAACCATTTCTTAAGATTAAACTATAACATTTGATAATAGGAGTGAGGTGTTGCAGTAAAAGTAAAACTATCCACAATGATAGTCTACAACCATGAATCTCTTACAAAAAATTATTTAATTAAGAAGTTTCTTAAAAGTTTGAGAGACTCGTGATAAAGTTTTTCGAATGATGAGAGATTTCATTGCATATACCCTAAAATCCTAGTAGTTGTAGTACTTAAATGTTACTAAAATCTTAAAATATATCATCTTCTTTCTACTAAATAAATTTTCATGCGTTCATACATAATAAAAATACATTAAATTTTATAGTGTAATAATATCTTTTTGTGATTATCAGTTTTCAGTACAGTTAAATTTAGTAGTTCATTAAACTTAAATATTTTAAACAAAAATTTACAGCTTATAATTACTAAATAATAGAACATTAATAGAAAACACAAAAAAAAACAATATGTTGATTTAGCTTGTTGATCTGCTTGTAAAACATTATGTTTTCTCAAAAAAATAAAATCACAACAATTATCTTTGAGGTGAGGCAGTATGTGATAGGTTTTCAAATGTCACTGTTAGGAGTCTAGGAATGAGATGTTTCTCTTTCTAACGAATTTGAATGTCCTTGTACATCAACAGAGAAAACGACCCTCTTTCATTTAAACTAACAACGGCCACTACAAGAAAACTAAGCTTTTACTAGGAAACTTTACTAGAAAAATAGTTCCACGTAAAATTACTACGAGTTAACTTCGAGTTTACGAGGAAACACTTTTTCCTCGTAAAGTTCTCGTAAACTTACGAGAAAAATGTTTCCTCGTAAACTCGTAGTAAACTTACGTGGCTCTTACGAGGAAAACGTCATTTTCCTCGTAAACTCATAGTATCTCCTTTCCTCGTAAAGTCCTAGTAATAGTTTACTACGAAATTAGGAGGAATGAATTTGTTACTACGAAATTAAGAGGAACTGGATAGAAAATATCGAATTTAAATCAAAAACGTGTTTTGTACCTACTTTTCCTAGCAATTTTCTAGTACATTCTCAGATTCGAAAATTTCTATAAATACCACCATATGTGATTCATTTGAAACACACCAAAAAAAAAGTCAGCTATAAGCTTGATCAAACACAAAAAAAAATGTCCGGTCCGGGAAATATTTTCGAGTTGCGGAAGTGGATGTATTCACACAGAGATAATAACGGGAGGGTGACGAAAGAATTTCTCGAAGGGTTGGAGACGTTTATGCATCAAGCAGATTCTACACCACTCACGCAGGAAAGTGGTAAGATGTTCTGTCCTTGTCGGAAATGTTGCAATATCAAATTAGGCCCTCGTGAAAATGTTTGGAAGCATTTAATAAATGAGGTTTCATGCCATATTATTATATTTGGTATCAACATGGAGAAAATGCTAGTTGTAGGAATGAAGGTAGCAGTAGTAATAGCAATTTTCAGATTGAACCGGTTGAGCATTTGCGTAATGAAGGTAGCAGTAGTAATAGCTATCATCACCAAGAGGAACAAATGGTAGATTGTGATAGGGTTCATGATATGGTAGGTGATGCCTTTGTAACTAATGATAATGATGAAGTTGAAGAACCTAACTTAGATGCTAAAAAGTTTTATGAAATGTTAGATGCTGCGAATGAGCCAATTTACAGTGGTTGTAGAGAAGGTCTGTCTAAATTGTCGTTGGCTGCTAGAATGATGAGTATTAAAACCGATCACAATCTACCTGAAAATTGTATGGATGCATGGGCAGACTTGTTTAAAGAGTATTTGCCAGAAGACAATGTGTTTACTGAATCTTATTATCAGATTCAAAAATTGGTATATAGTCTTGGGTTGCCCTCGGAGATGAAAGATGTTTGCATCGACAACTGCATGATTTACTGGGGAGATGATGAGAAGTTAGAAGAATGTCGATTTTGTAAGAAGCCACGATTCAAACAGCAAGGTCGAGGGCGTAATAGGGTACCGTACCAAAGGATGTGGTACCTACCAATCACAGACAGATTGAAAAGATTGTACCAATCTGAGGAGACTGCTGGAGGGATGAGATGGCACGCCGAGCATACTCAGACGGATGGAGAGATGACTCATCCATCAGATGCAAGAGCCTGGAAACATTTTAACAATGTACATCCACATNAGACTGCTGGAGGGATGAGATGGCACGCCGAGCATACTCAGACGGATGGAGAGATGACTCATCCATCAGATGCAAGAGCCTGGAAACATTTTAAC